TTGAGATGGAGTCTTGCTCTGTCCCTAGGCTGGAGTGCATTGATGTGATCTTGGATCACTGCAACCTCTGCCTCCTGGGTTCAAGAGATTCTTCTGCCTCAGCCTCCCAAGTAGCTGGGACTACAGGCGCATGCCACCATGCCCAGCTAATTTTTGTATATTTTTTAGAGACGGGGTTTCACGATGTTGGCCAGGGTGGTCTCGATCGCTTGAGGTCAGGAGTTCAAGACCAGCCTGGCCAATATGGTGAAACCCTGTCTTTACTAAAAATACAAAAATTAGCCAGGCATGGTGGCGCGTGCCTGTAATCCTAGCTACTTGGGAGGCTGAGGCAGGAGAATCACTTGAACCTGGGAGGCAGAGTTTGCCATAAGCCAAAATTGTACCACTGCACCCCAGCCTCAGTGACAGAGTGAGATTCTGTCTCAAAAAAATAAAAAATAAATAAACTCAGAGATCAGAATTTTAAAACTATATAGTGTATTAGTTATCACTACTTTTAATTTATAACTTGTGAATTGTTCATTTGTAGAAACAAGAACTGAAATGGTGTGACTATAAAAAAGAAGCTGTGGCTTTCTTGTCTCACCTGTCCCAGATCAGTTTGTTTGCTATCTGCAGGGAATAAAGAACAAGTTATTAAAAGCAGTAAAAGTAAATGCACAATTATTGAATAGTTGGTCATTCATCCTCATTCCATTTGGGCTGTCTGGCAGATGTACCAATTTCATTGTCAGCTCCTACCCAAGAGTGATCTCAGGAAAATTGCCTCATGTTGCCCTGTTTACATGGAACATTTAAAAATCAGAATACCAGGCCGGGCGCGGTGGCTCAAGCCTGTAATCCCAGCACTGTGGGAGGCCGAGGCGGGTGGATCACGTGGTCAAGAGATCGAGACCATCCTGGTCAACATGGTGAAACCCCGTCTCTACTAAAAATACAAAAAATTAGCTGGGCATGGTGGCGCGTGCCTGTAATCCCAGCTACTCGGGAGGCTGAGGCAGGAGAATTGCCTGAACCCAGGAGGCGGAGGTTGTGGTGAGCCGAGATCGCGCCATTGCACTCTAGCCTGGGTAAAAAGAGCAAATCTCCGTCTCAAAAAAAAAAAAAAAAAAATCAGAATACCAGAAAATGTTCTGTGATGCAGAGTGAATGACTTCACATTATCTATACAGGGTATCTAAATATATTTTCCTGTCTCTAGCCTCCTTCTATTAATTTTCCTTATTTTGTGTTATGAGAATGTTAATAAGTCCCCTCAAAATCTTTTTCAAACTAGGCAAAGAATGAAAAATAGGGCAGCTGTGATGGCTCCTGCCTGTAATCCCAGCACTTTGGGAGGCCCAGGCAAGTGGATCACTTGAGTTCAGGAGTTTGAGACCAGCCTAGGCAGCATGGTGAGATGCTGTCTCTACAAAACAAACAAACAATAAATGGCCCAGTGTGGTGGTGTGTACCGGTAGTCCCAGCACTATGGCAAGCCAAGGCAGGAGGTTCGCTTGAGTCCAGGAGTTCAAGACCAGCTGGGCAGCATGGCAAAACTCTGTCTCTGCAACAACAACAACAACACAAATTACCTGGGCGGGCTGGTGTGTGCCTATAGTCCCAGATGCTAGGTAGGCTGAGGTGGGAGGATTGATGGAGCCTGGAAGGTTGAGGCTGCAGTGTGCTATGGCTACACCACTGCACTCCAGCCTGGATGACAAAGTAAAACACTGCCTCAAAAAATAAAAAATAAAATAAATATTCCCCCTTTCCTAGGACCCAGGTATTGAGGAAATGGAGAAACTAGCATGCCTAAAGGCTCTAAAGTGGAAAAAGTGCAGTAGCGAAGAAAGAGAAGCATGACTAGAGTAGAAAGGCAGGGAGAGAGGGAAAGGGAATGATGGAAAACTAATTTAAAAGTTAGCCAGATGTGGTAAGTTGCACCTGAGTCTGTGGCTAACCACACACAACCATAAAATATCCTTGGCATACAATAAACTCCATCTATTTCTCTTTTCCAACTTGTCTACTCTGTGGGTTGACAAGAATTTGGCCAATATAGACTGACATCAGCAGGCTTTGCTCCAGGCCAAGGGCTGGCTTATCTTTGCTCAGTTTCTCTCAATCTTCTAGGGTTACCCAGATCAGAAGACAATTTTAGACAGGCATGATTGTGTGTGCGTGTGTGTGTGTGTGTGTGTGTGTGTGTGGGGCAAAGCATATCAGTAATAGAATCTTTCTTTTTCAGAAGGAGCCCTCAGTTGTGTGAACTTGGACATTCTGGTATTTAGTTAGCTCAAATGTAAAGTGGGAATGCAAATCACGTCTACCTTTCAGGGAGGATGACAACAAGAAATCTGAAGGACCTATTCAATTTCCACTTCTACTAGTGGTCAATGGACTATTTGCTTCATCTCATTCTCATCAGTAGCAGTTATCACCAGGCATGGTGGCTCACTCCTATAACCCCAGCACTTTAGGAGGCTGAGGCGGGAAGATCACTTGAGGTCAGGTGTTCGAAATCAGCCTGGGCAATATAGTGGGATCCTTTTTCTACAAAAAATTTTAAAATTACCTGGGCATCTTCCTTCCTTCCTTCCTTCCTTCCTTCACTCCCTCCCTCCTTCCTTCCTTCCCCTCCCTCCCTCCATTTCCTTTCTTTTCTTTCTTTCTTTATCCTTCCTTCTTTCTTTCATGCTTTCATGGGGTCCACTTTAGGAGGTCAAAGTGGGTAGATCATTTGAAGTCAGGAGTTCAAGACCAGCCTGGCCAACATGGTAAAAACCAGCCTCTACTAAAAATAAAAATAAATTAGCCAGGTGTGGTGGCAGGCACCTGTAGTCCCAGCTACTTGGGAGGCTGAGGGAGAATTGCTTGAACCCAGGAGGCAGAGGTTGCAGTGAGCCAAGATCATGCCACTGCACTCCAGCCTGGGCAACAGAGTGAGACAGGCAGAAAGAAAGAAAGAAAAAAAAGAAAAAGAAAGAAAGAAAGAGAGAGAGAGAGAAGGAAGGAAGGAAGGAAGGAAGGAAGGAGAGAGAGAGAGATGGGGGAGGGAGGGAGGAAGGGAGAGAGAAAGAAGGAAAGAAAGAAAGAAAGAAGAAAAAGAAAAAGAAAGAAAGAAAGAGAGAGAGAGAGAGAGAGAGAAAGAAAGAGAGAGAAAAAGAAGAAAAGAAAGAGAAAGAGAGAGAGATGTGGTCTCACTCTGCCAGGCAGGAGGCTAGGGTGCAGTGGTACAATCACAGCACACTGTAGTCTGGAACTGCTGATCTCAGGCAGTCCTTCCACCTCGGCCTCCCAAAGTGCTAGGATTACAAGCGTGCACCACCTTGCCCAGGCTAAAATTTTAATCTTATCCATTTCCCACAAGAAGAAAAGTATAAATGGAGGTACCAGATATTCAGATCGTATTGATATGTCACAAAAATCTCACTTAACCCTCATTTATCAATAAGACAGTGAATTATTTTTGTTTTCTCAACTGTCAGTTTAAAAATAAAAACAAAAGCTAGAGTCTATACTATATTATATTCTACCTTTCTATTTAAAGTAGTAAACATTTTTCCAAGTCATAATTTCAATATAACTTTTAATGACTTGATAGAATGTTTGCATATATAAATCATAGATTTAAATAATGTCCTCTTTCTGGGCATTTGGGTTAAGTATTTAGCTATTATGAATAATGCCAAAATAAACATCCTTGTATGTAAGTTTTATTCACATCTCTGATTCATTTTTCCTCCTTTTTTGGGGGAGAATGGGGTCTCACTATGTTGTCTAGGCAAATCTTGAACTCCTGGCCTCAAGCTGTCCCACTGCTGCTTCCCTAAATGTTGGGATTACATGCATGAACCACCATGCCTGGCTCACATCTCTAATTCTTTATATTAAGTTCTCAGACATGCACTTACTGGGTTAAGTTGTATGAACACTTAGTCCACTTATCAAGGACTTTCTTAGTCCACTTTATTGTATTTATATACAACCTACAAATTCATCATAATCAAGATAAACAACATTTCCGTAATCTCCAAGGGTTTCTTCAAGCCTCCTTATACTCAAGACCCTTTTTGACACCCCCCACCCAGCATAACCACTGATTCTGCTGTCATTCTAGTTTTGCCTTTCTAGAAATGCATATAAATGGAATCATGCAGCATGTGGTCTTTGGTGTCTGGCTTCTCTCACTTAGCATACCACCCTTGAGATTAATCTGTGGTGTGTATTAGCCGTCGGTTCCTTTTCAATATTTATTATTTATTTTTGAGACGGAATCTCACACCGTCACCCAGGCTGGAGTGCAGTGGCAAGATCTCAGTTCACTGCAACCTCTGCCTCCCGGATTCAAGCAATTTTCCTGCCTCAGCCTCCCGAGTAGTTGGGATTACAGGTGTGCACCACCATGCTGGATAATTTTTGTATTTTTAGTAGAGACGGGGGTTTTGCCATGTTAGCCAGGCTGGTCTCAAACTCCTGACCTCAGGTGATCTACCTGCCTCAGCCTCCCAAAGGCTGGGATTCCAGGTATGAGCCAGCGTGCCCAGACAGCCTGTTCCTTTTTATTGCTGAATAGTATTCCATTTTGTTATCCACTCTTTAGTTGATCAATGTTTCAGTTGCTCCCAATTTTTGACTGTTATGGATAAAGCAGATATGTACATTCACATACAAGTCTGTGTGGAACATAAGCTTTAATTTCCTTTGGATAAAGAATAGTGAGGAACAAATTTATAGGCTATACAGTAAATATTTAATTCTATAAGAAATTGCCAAACTGTTTTCCAAAATGGCTGTACCAGCTTGCTCTAGTCACTATGCATCTTCAACACCACTTAGTATTGTCTTTTTTATCTCATTGATATGTAGTGGTATCTCAATGTGAGTTTTATTAGCGTTAATTCATTCATATTAGTTATCTTCAATTAATAACTTACACCATTATCTTTGCTGTAAAGATAATGAACATCTTTTCATGTTTAAATGTCTTATTGTACATTTTTTTTTTTTTTTGAGACGGAGTCTAGCTCTGTCGCCAGGCTGGAGTGCAGTGGCGCAAACTTGGCTCACTGCAACTTCCGCCTCCCGGGTTCAAGCGATTCTTCCGCCTCAGCCTCCCGAGTAGCTGGGACCACAGGCACGTGCCACCATGCCCGGCTATTTTTTGCATTTTTGGTACAGACGGGGTTTCACCATGTTGGCCAGGATGGTCTCGATCTCTTGACCTCGTGATCCGCCCACCTTGGCCTCCCAAAGTGTTGGGATTACAGGCGTGAGCCACCGCTCCTGGCCGGACATTTATTTATCTTAGTTTGTGAAGTATTTGTTCAAAGCAAGTGGAGGGTTTGAGGGACTTGGGGATATGAAGCAATAATAACACATGGCAAGCTTTATTGAGTGGTTCTTGGGCAATGGTGTCTGAAAGAGGAAGTCCTTCACAGCATGAGACTTTCTGAATGCTAACAATGAGGGGCCTACCCTCCAGTAGGAGAGAGAGGGTATGGGAACTCCTAAGGAGAGAGGAAAATCAGAGAGGAAGTTTACCTGCCCGGGTGATACCACTGCAGTAGCATGGTAGGGGAGTCTCTGGATCAGAGAATATTGAAGGACAACATCAGCAGTGATTTGGGGGCTGGGGCTTATCTTATATACTGCTAGCAGTTGTGGAGTGATTTCATGGGTTATACCAACCGGGCAGGTTCTAAAGTGCTGAAAATCTTGTTTGGGCTTAAAAAAAAATTAGATGTGTAAAAAAATTGACTTTGGCACTGATGGACTTTTGTACTAATAGGTCTCAGCCTTCAGTGAAGAAATAAACAACCTAGAAGCCAATACATCCAGGCCATCATTGGCTCACTTATATAAGAAAGCTTTTGCTGATATTTTTAATTAGGTTATCTGTTTTATCACTGAGTTGTAAGAGTTCTTTATATATCCTGGAGAGGAATCCTTCATCAGATGTCTTGCAATGTTTTCTTCCTTTTATGTAGCTTGCTTTTCATTTTCTTAACTGTATTTTATAAGGAAAAGTTTTTAATTTTGATGAAGTCCAATTTATCAATTTTTTTCTTTTATGCTTCCTACTTTTTATGTCTTATCTAAGAAATGTTTGCATCAACTAAGACCTCAAAAATTTTTCTCCTATTTTCTTCTAGAAGTTTTGTGGTTTAGTTCATATGTTTAGGTTTATGACTCATTTCAAGTCCATCTTTGAAATCAGTGTGAAGCAAGGAACAAGGCTCTTCTTTTTGCATATGGATATCCAAATGTCCCGGTACCATTCCTGACTCATAACTCCCATATCCCTTGTTATAGTCTTTTGTTATAATGTTGGAATGCTTTAGGCCTCAGAAGAAAACAAATTCTTCAGAAAACAGAATCTCTCTCTGACCTTCCTTCCCCTGCCCTCTTTCCACCAGCCCAATGCAGGACTCTAATCTCCCCCTACTTTTCTGACTGTGAGTCATAAGACTCTCATTTCAGAAGGGTCCTGCCCATGCCCTGAAGGA